ATACAAATTTGTTATTCTTGTTGTTGTAACTGTTTTCCAATTCAAATTTTTCGCACGTTTCGGTAGCGCTCAAAGGTAGTCGGCGCGTGCTTCGAAGCATTAACGCGCATAGCCAAGAAAACAACAAAGAAAAGCAGTACCAGCAGCCCAGCAACAAAGGCGATGACGCTGGCAACACGTTTGCCTGAAGCAAATGTTGCGCAACATGGTGGCGCTGCTAGCCAGCCATTTGCGCTTGTGGTAGATTGGTTTGTTTTTGAATTTTTATACCCGAGCGCACTTGTGCACAGGGTATATTAACTTTGTTCGCATAACGGTTGTTTGTAACAGCCTAAAGGAATCGATAAAGATATAGGCAAATGTATACAAAAAATGATCAGAATGAAAAGAGAAGTCGATTAAGCCATGTCTGTCTGTCCGTCCCTCCGTCCGTCCGTCCGTGTACACGCTAACTCGAGCAAAAATTGAGATATCTCAACGGATTTTGGTACGTGGGTTGCCCTTTATCCAAGGTAGGTTGCTATTGAAAATGGGCTAAATCGCACTGTAACCACGCCCCCTTCTCATATAACGGTACTTTCGAAAAATGCAAAAACTGGGATATTTCAGTAAATATTCGATCTAAATTGTTGAAAATTAGTATGTGAAGTAGAATTTTGGTACAAAATAATATTATTATGAAATTTTTGGAAAGGGGGCGTCCCCTCACCCACTTATGATGACATACTGTATCTTAGTAGCCGTTTCAACAATCCTCACCATCTCGGTGCGAGCCTTGCTTAGGATCCAGCTAAGAAATTTGCTGAAAGTCTTTGAAATCGGGCAATAGGCACGCCCACCTCCCATATAACGGTAATTTACAGAAACACGAAAACTGCGATACATCAGTAGCTACTGAAGTTTATTGACTCAAAATCGATTACTGCAATGACCACTGAGCAAAAAATTTGATTATTATACATTTTGGGTCTTTGGGCGTGGCGCCGCCCACTTATGACACATGTGTATCTCGGTAACCGATTTATGAATTTTTACTAAACTTAGTGTATTTAATAACCTTCGTTCGAAAAAGCAATTCGTTGAAAATTATTCAAATCGGACTAAAATTGCACCGGCTTACCGTACAACGGTAATTTTCGGATATACGAAAACTCCGATATTTCAATAACTGAGGACGTTCATTTAATCCAAGTTAATACTTACAACAGTATTTTTACGTTAAATAAGACTGTTATAGAATTCTAGGTAGTTTAAAGAAAGTTGGAACGACGAGTGTTGATACCTGCGCCGGCTATAGAAAATTCGGTTACTTGTGTGGCTTTTAAATTTGCATTTTTTTTAGTTTTTATTTGAAGTTTATGGCTTGTTTGTTGTTGTAGCGCTTGAAATTGGCTTTTTGGCTTTTCTTTTGTTCGCAAAGGTAAATAAAAATAGATGCTCGGTTTATTTTTTCAGCCAAACACTCCATAGTCAATGATTTTTGGTCTGCTTGCATTTTGGGGCCATTGTCAATGAACTTGTTTTTGCACGCAAAATTTTTGCATTTTTCCCACTTGGCTTGTATGTATGTATGTACGTTTGTACATTTTTTGCAAATTTTGCGTTGATTATATTTTGATAATCATTATTTACTATTGCCATCATTATTTTTTGTTCATTGTGTCAGGCAACAAAACGCACGCTGCCCTTGAATTGTCTTCAATGGGATTGCCAGCACTCTCGTTGACATTACATTTGCAGTCTGCGTTAAATTACAGCTTAAAATGAGCGCCATCCGCTTCCTCTGTTTCGTTTTTTTAATTTTTGTTTTGCTGCTTTGCAATGACCCTAGATTTTGTGGCTATTATGATTGTTTTTTTTTTTTTTTCGACAGGTGTTACTTAATTACTGCCACTGGACATTGCTAAGGTTCTTAGCGCTTAAGTTGTTTACCAGCCGCTGACACACCCAGAAATACATAGTATGCTCAATCACTTTAGTCTGTAGTCGCCATGTTAAGTCAGATTTATCCGGTCAGGCAGAGGCCATCGCAAAGAAGATAATCTTTATATTTTCGGAAAGTAATTATTGCCTGATTTGAAAATGGTTCAATGGCAACTGATGAATGTACTTACTTTTAAATACTTTTAGACCTTAATATAAGGTACATTCATGTGCTTTTATATACATACATATGTACATACATACGCAATGATAGAGTACTTCCATGTAATAGCAGCAATTGTTTGCTTTTGTTAATTGTTTTAAAAACTAAAATAAATCACTTTAAGTGAATGAAAAGCAATTTTTTGTAGTGCTTGTATTCGCTCAGAACTTTTAAGGCAAACATATTCTGCCTGGTACTGAGCCAATTGAACTTTTGAATGCATTTGATATTCTCAAAAAAAAAAAAAAAAATACAACATTTTAAGCAGCTACGAAGTGTATTTCCTGGAACTTGAACTTAAGTTTTCATTGTTTAAACTCAGTATACTTAACGACACTTTACAACAATTAATGAAGGTCAAACGAAGTTTAAGTTTTGCAATGACGAGCTGAAGTACATATGTATTCGAAATGGCCTTCAAGATGTTCAATCCAATACCTTTGGATCTGTGAGTGCTATGTTGGTCTGCAAATCATTGAAAAGCTCCAAAGTATTACAAATACTCTTAAATAGAATTGAGATACTACTGTTAACTTTGTTCAGACGTTCCCGACGACGAAGGTACACTGAGAAAAGAGTTTAGTTACGTCAACTAAATATATTCCCCTCAACTAAACTTATTAGATGCGATCTATGAATTTGAAGACGATCAGGTTGCGGAAAGCTCATTTTAGTTTTCAAAATTCACTTACTTCCTATGTATGCACTGAGAAAAGAGGACAAATGTGATACAAAAAGGTGAACAAGGGGAACCAATACTCCTCTGCAATTTTACCAGACTCTTTGATGAATAAAGTTAGTTTGTAGAGCGAAAGAGAATAAAACTCCTCCACTCTGAATACAGCTGACCCAAAAATGCAGCATCTCTGTCTGGCGAGAGCGGGAGAGCTGCAGAGTAAGAAAATGCACCGTTAGTGGATGGCAATTCAGCAATGGTTTTCAAGTGCCTCACTCATGACATCCCTGATGTACCTAACAGTTTCCGCCACTCTTCGCTCCGGTCCATTTAACATTCGACAGAACCGCACCCAGTGTCCCGGAACTCACCTACATCCAAGTACCACAATTTAGTCTCAGTCTCTATCTTTACAATCCGGCATTCTCGAAGAGGTACCAGTGCAGCTTGGCTTTCATTGAAGACATTGATTTGGTGTGAGCGCCACCATTTGTCAATTATCCAGTCTGCTACTGTAGCTATTGAAGAAACTTTCCATGGATGCTTAGATTTCTCCATTGCTTGCTTGTTGGAAAACTAACCACATAATTTTTCCCGAAAGAGCTTCCAAGTATCAGTTACTAAAACACAGTCCATTCTTCTGAAAACCATCTAAAACACTCTTTGTTCCCGGAACACCGATCGTCGTGCCACAATTCAAACAAAAAAATTGAGTCGACACATCGTCTGCATTGCTTCCTGTTGATCGCTATATCCTGGTCAATTTAGCAAAATATTACGAGCCAAGTCTTATTTACTAAAGGTTCTTCGACCCTGACCAAAAACTTTTCAGCTTCCTGTCTAGAATTACTGTAGGTAACTCTGTTTTCCTCGAAAGCCAGACCAAGTCTTTTACCAAAAACCACAAGTGAGGCAAGAGTAAACTATCTAGAAGGCATCCTCTTCCAACTGCTGTCATGATGCGAAGGTTATATTCCTCTGTGAGAGAGGATCCGAAGAGGGGGAATATCACTACTCAAATGCGAGTTATGCCATAAAAACACTTTTTAGATTCCCTTCACTCTTCATTCCCAAATTTGGTAAGGAAACAAACCGGTTTCACAGTTGTACCATCTAGGGATGGGCAGAGAAGTGCACATTAAACATGAATTGTTTTTTTGCAAGTAAATCTATATTAGGAAGCCATGGCAGGTGCCACATGCCTAGGTCCAGGGCCTACAGCTATATATGCAGATGGTTCCAAGCTAAACGAAAGAGTAGGAATTCGCACTAAGCCTTAAAGCGCAAACAGTCAACGACGTAGCGTAGACGTAGGTTGACGCAGACACGATCTATCTTATGGGATTCGCGAGTTAACGAAAACTCACCACCGCATGGCGGTGACGTTGCCGTAGCTTCTCTCTCTCTCTCTATCAACAGTAAATTTGATATGCTGCTACGTACGTCAACCTACGTTAACGCTACGTCGCTGACTAACCGAGGTTTTAGTTTTATCTTACCGGACCACTGTGGCGTTTTTCAGGCAGATTCAAACGTCATAATGGAGACCGCTCGGTGGCTCATAGCTTCCGCCCTTCGAAAACGACATATACCTATTCATTCTGACATTCAGGCTGCTATTAAATATCTAAAATCAAATACAACAACGTCCTAAGTAGCCATAAAATGCATAATGGTTTTCAGCCTGCTGGCGGCTAAATGCTTCTTGACGGTTGTACGCAACTCCATGGCCGACGACTTGGCAAGGAAAGGGACGAAAATATCCGTGGTACGTTAAAGTCTTCAAAAGAGGATAGCGAGAATTTCACTGACTTCTAAATCCTAAAAAGGTTTGCAGAGAAGCTACTAATAAGGCCAGAACAGAACAAAACGTGTACCAAGCTGGCTAAATTGCCGTTTTAAGCAACCATTTGGGTTTCAATGCCATCTACTCACCCGAAAAAGTTTTAACCGGTAGAGAGTGTTCTATTTCGCCTTACTAGATTATGAAATGAACACAGAATTTTGTCACAGGTTTCCTTTATTTTAGAATCGAACGGGAGCAGAGAAATGAGCAATCCAAAAGAGGAATTTTTTGGTAGGTATATACCAAAGAGGTCCCATTTTGCTTTCATATGTAATTAAAATATTACTAATATTGGTGCTAGGAATACATAAATTATGTAGAAACATACTCACCTCTTCGACCTTTTTATCCACCATGCTGGGAAACAGGAACCAACCGCAGTAGGCGCCCAAAGCAGCTGTTAACAATCCAATGAAACTGACTATCAACGACCAATGAAGCATCTTCGACGAGCACCGAGGTACAGAGCCAGGGAAGAGACTCTTCGCAATGTTTGCTGTTGTCATGAGGGAGCAGCAAAAGAAGCAAATTGACGAAAAGTTACTAAATCGAATCTGGCGAGCTTACAGTATCACCAAATAGTATGTATTTAACACACAAAAGCACAGACACTAATGATGAACGAGAACTATGTAGGAAAAAATAAACACTTAGATGAAGATGATGAAGAAGACACATAAATATTATGGATTGTGAAATAATAAAGAATACATTTAACTACTTTAACAGAAAAAGTCTCTTCGTTATGAGTAAGCGTTGGTTGGCATTTGTTTGCACTGGTGGTTGCTTTAATTTTCACATTAATTTTATTTATATTGTCACTGTTTAAATATTATCACCTTTTATTAGCGTTGCTTATTTCATTCTGACACTGTTTACAGGTTTACAGACTAAACTTGAGCAGCTTCTAGAAAACAGTATGGAAACACTTTGGCGGTGGTTTATTAAACTTTTAAATCGGTTGTAGATTTTCGCACTTTTTTATCCCGCTCAAATGAATAGCTTAGTTGGACCCTTACTTTACATTTTGACACATAAATAAGTAGTAAAAAGGTAAAAGAAACAAACAAAAGAAAATAAAAAATTTATAAATCAAAATAAGAGTTAGCAAAAATGTAAATAGATGACTGAATCGAACAGACGTGCCTAAGGGAGAGGACAAAGCGGCGGTAAACAAAGAGAATAGGCAATAAAAGCAATAGAGACGTAATACAAAAAAAAAACAAAAACAAAAAAAACATTTAAGCAAAAATCAAAGTACAGTAAAAAAAAACAAAAAAACATTTAACCAAAAATCAAAGTACAGTAAAAAATATCAAAAAGAAATACATATATCTATCGTCAGAGATCTGAAAACCAGTTTTGTTAATTTTTATAGATACTGTTGAATGTCTAGGCCGCTGCATGGATGTTGTACATACATACATATGTATGTATGCCATTAGCAGATTAACGGTGACGTTTACGTTAACGAACTAAGCTCGTAATTTTAGCCTAAGAATGCTACAGTCAGTTTTTCACGGATTTCCTTGAGGTTCATTGAATTTGGCGAGGAAATTTGGAAATGCTGCCGGAAAAGAGATACGCCCGGCAATTATATCAGAAAATCAGGCTAATTATGGAAGGTTACAACACCAGTGCAAATTCCTGTAGAAAAAACAGGGCGTCCTAGATCAGTCCATGCTAAAATTATGGGAGGGGAAATTTTGTCCTCTTTGCTGAGAAAATTGCAGAAGAGATGAATCCACAGTTGAAAACGACGGAGTCGATGGCCTAACACTCGACTGGGACGAATTACGAACATCAATTTTGTGGCTAGATGTCCACAAGGCCGTTGGATCTGATGCCCTGCCGGCGTAGATACTCAAGTAACTTTAAGAATGGTCCGCCCTATCAACAAGAATGACGCATGCTCCAACATCGTATGCGCTATTGTAGAGCGTATGGTGTGAAAGGTGAAGTCCACCGTCGACTGTCTTCTGATTAGGCTTTATTTAGGCATAGTAAATCCAATATAGACAAAGTATTCACCATACGGGGAAATTTTGTAAAAGCCATACAGGATGAGGCACAATATATGTAAATGAATTTTTTTTTTGGTGATTTTGAAGCCGCTTTCAACAGCAGGCAAATAAGTTGAAACTACATCGCGATTACTGAATTTAGTATCCAGGCGAAAGTAATACAGCTGTCTAAAATGACAGCAGCAGCTCCGTCAGAACGGGGAATGGCTTTACCAAGCCATTTGATACGCACCGACTTTTAATACAGGGCGCATCCCCATCGCGCGACTTCTTCTGGCATGGTTATACCAGATTTACAATTCACGTTGAAGGAACGAAAGAACCTCGAAATTATTTATTTCCACCATATATGTATATGTAAATGTGTATGTATGCCCGTACTCTTCACTAAAATTTGTATTGCTTTGAAACTCAAACACTTGAAACCACAAAAACAATTTATTTGTGTGGTCACGAATTAAAGCTATGCTGCAATATCAAAAAATTTTACTTAATTTTTTCTCGCCAAAAAAAAAAATAGTGAGCTCCCTTGAACTCTGGCCACTCTGGCTGCCTGATCATAATTAAGAAATTTGTTTGAGAGTACACAACCTTTGCCATCACCGCAAATACCATCTTTGCTTGCTGATTATCGGACAAAAATACTACTTTATTGGCATAAATATTGCAGCACACTTTCGATTTCGATTCGCATGGTGTAGTGTGTGTGCTCATTTCGGCTTTGATTTTTTCAATGATGATTTTCAATTGATTGCATTTGGCAATGCAGAAAAGACGAGAAGCACCTGTCCCTGTCCCTACTCCGGCAGCGGCCGCTTGCTGACACACAAAATATGTGTGTGTGTGCGTGTGTTAAACACCACTTTGCTTACACTTGTATGCACTCGAATCGAAAGCTGNTTGTGTGTGTGTGTGCGCGTGTTAAACACCACTTTGCTTACACTTGTATGCACTCGAATCGAAAGCTGGTGCCGTTGCATCAACCTGAAAATCTTGTACGAAAACTCGACGCGGTTGCGGAGGTGGTGGTCGCTGATATTGTGGTTGGTACGGTGGACGCGTTGAACCGCGTATTATATGCGAGTAGACGTGGCCAGTTTGTTGCATGCTTCAAATGAAACTAACTGAAACGGAATGAAATGTTAATTGAACTTGAATTCCGAATTAGTGGTCGCACGGCCAATGTGAAGTTGTAAGGATTGTTATCTTTTGTAGAAAAGTTACTAGTAGCTAAGAGTGTTTGGCGACCACAGAACACGCTTGCCCACATAACTGACCATTGAAATACACTAAGCAGCAGTGAATGTTTCAGCTTAGTATTTATAATGGCTATTGCGTTGAAATACTTTGGTGGCGAAAAATTGCATGTGCTGTGCAACAATTACTGTTAGATATTATCACAGATCATCATTACATAGTTTTATTGATTCTAATTCTATTGTGTGTTGTTTTTTTCTTTGTTCTTATCTTGTAATACCTAATTTTTCATCACTGGCATGTGGTGAGGAGTAACATCGGTGATTAATTGCATGCAATTTTAGGGCGCACAAGTTACTTACATTCATGTGGACACACAACACACAAGTTATAACAACAACAAATTGTCGTGTGGCCACGTGCAAGCACGAATATACATACATACATTAGGCTTGGTCGCAAAAAAATCGTATTTTGTAAAGTATATTTAACTGAATTTCGGCATCAACAAAAATTTCAGCATAAACAAAATCGTTTCGAAGTATTTGAAATCAGTTTCAAAGTGTTTGAAAGGTATTTTTCAGTACATATTTATATTGACCCAAATTTAATTATTTATCCTTGATCATAGAGTGATATGAAAACCACGCAAATGTTTTTTCAAAAAATTTGGACTTTGACGTTTCCCTGGTTCGAGTTTGTGAAGACTTCTCAGAGAAGGTGGAAAACAAAGACTTTCATATGATTTGCTACGAGGTTACCCATACCTGCTGAGTAAATGGGAGGCTTACTTCAGCCCCGGCATTAATGACAGAAGGAGTGATTGTATTCACTTGGAAATACCAGAGCCCCAAAGCAACTCTTCCCCCGCTTTTATTCAGACCCTGAGTTTAAATACGAGGCTGTAGTGAAAATCTCATTCAGGCTCTATCACACCATATTTAAGCCAATCATGTTTTGTGAAAGAGCTACAAACAGTTAAATGGCTAGAACGCGTAAAATGGGCTGCTCTCATAGGTATGAGTGACGCTTCCATCTGTTTATATTGCAGGCGCGGGCTGAGATCAGCTCAGCAAGTTCCTCGCCTGGACACTCTGATTACACGGTTCACTACGCCACACAAATGGCTCCAAGCTACCTTTCCTTAACGCACACTCCCTCAAGGGGTGTCCGGAGGAAGAGAGCAATAAACTTTTTCACGGATGGGCTGAAGCTTGATGGAAACGTTTACCTGGTTTATTGTGTCGAAGTTGTAGTAGCTGCGGGAGTACTGTGAATCAGAGCGTTGAGCGACAGGAAGTACCTCACCTCTTTCCAAATAACTTCCATTTTCTTGTATTGATGAAAATTTTTATATAACAAAAATATTTGCGAGGCACACTCTTCAGAATATTTCTCATTAGAAACGGTGGGGTGAGGACAAACTTTCTAATTTGGTCGTAAAACCACACGCACTCCTACTTTCGCTGACGCACCTTAATGTATGAACTAATGCTAATACTACGTTCAAATTGACGAGCTAAACATGTTAAATGGGCTTGAACCAGTTAAATGAACAAAACATGTTCATAAACAAGTTAAATGGCATGCAATTGTTGTCGGAAAATTGAACCAGTTAAATCATTTAACTCGTTTGAAAACCAGTTCAGCGCAGACACGCCAACGTTCAAAAAATTTATATTTTGAAAAATATTGAAAATTAAAAATGATCAAAAAATATCATAATTGCATGCATGTCTGCCCGCCAAAAAAGGGGCCAAGGCGGTAATTAGTTATTTTCCAAGAGGTCTCATCGAACGCAGAGATAAATAGTGCATACGAACTAAACATTTTGAAGCCTCTAAGTTATCCGTATGCGTTAATATCATGAAGCAGACATTCGCACAAAACAATCTGAAACACAAAAACTTGATTTAGTATTTTTTTTTTTTGAATTTTTATTGGTAATCAAACAACCGTCAAAGTTAACTCCAAATGTTCAATGTGGACGATTGTGTTTTCCAAAAAGCTCTTTTTCATTTAACAAGTTAATTGGGACCAATTTGAACGTAATATAAGATACGTAAATCAAACTTCATCAGTAAGTTTTTAATTACAAATATTGTTCTTAATAATAATAAAGTAATAGATTGGCGCTTACGCCGACTCCGAACGGCGATTGTATTTTTATGAGAAGCTGTTTTTGTTCTTTGTTCTTATATTGGACAAAAAAGCGTTTAATTTCTCAACATAACTTTTTCTTAGCTGGATACATTTACTGAGTCTATTTTTTTCTATTATTTTATCCCTTCCAAATACTAGCTCTCCAAAAGGGAGTTCCAGTAGAGATCTCTTCATTCGACCCCAATCTTTCGCCGCAGATCCTTTCCTTTAGGCTTGGAAATAGGAAATGCTCATCTAAATCGGGAGAATATCTTGCATAGGGTAGCATTTCTTTGCCCTGGTTATGATAACCCCACGAAATTAAACTTTTTCCTATCTTCGCTAGTCGAAATTCACGAAGTTTCCTGCATTCAATGGCTGCCTAGTACAAAGTAAAAGACACAGCTTGCGGTACAAGACGTCTATTAACAAATATCTGTTGATAGTAGGTAATATAATTTTTTTCGTTTTGTTTTTTCTTGCACGAAGATTGATTGGGGCGTATTCTTGTTTTCGTACGAATCGAAAATCATGAAATTTTCCTATCATTTTCTATACAAAAAATTCAAAGTTTCGATTCGTATGAAAACCAGAATACTCCTCATTATATCCATTCAAACTAATTTGGTCGATTTTTTTAGAATCGTTATCACGCTTTACATTGTTTGTCATTGAAACTGACTTTCTGTTCTAGTTCACGAAAAAGTGTTTATTCTGGAAGTCATAAAATTTGTAAAAACTTGTAGTCCCTTGGAAAAACAGTGCAATTTTTTTTAATTTGCTGAGTGATCCGCCTTAATGCATAGGCTGCTAAGGGCCGTTATACGTTCATACATACACATTTAAGATGTATGTAGATATTTTTTTGGTGTTATGAGCCATTTGAAGGCTTATTTTTAAGTGCCAGTTAATTCAGTCATCAATTTGTTTCACTAAAAGTTCCAAAACCTCACAAAGAATTTCACTTGAAATTTAAATAAATGAAAGAGGCGCTTTGTTCCAATTGAAACTACTAGGAAAAGAAGTTTTGTTTGCATGCAAATATTTTTTTTTTGTTGACAAAAATACAAATTTTTGGTTTGCCACTTCTTTTTTTTGTTACACTAATTAACCTTGTTTTATGTATTTGTGTGTGTGTATATATTTATTTAGCATAAAAAACACTCAACCGCACTACCGTCGTATTGCATACCGTTTACTTTTGCTTTGCGTTTTACGCGTTAAAATATATATATTTATGTACGTATGTGCACCACTTCGTCACTTTGAGACTAAGTTTCCACGTCTTTTTCTTCTTCCTCTTAAACATTCAACACTTTATTAACATCTCATTTGCGTGTGCGACTAGAGTTGAGCTTCAATTTAAACTAAAACTGCCAAACTAAAAAACATTCAAGCCAAGCTGAAACGATTTGAGCCAAGTGCCGAAATGCCGAAACGCTGCGCTGCTGCTGCTACTGCTGCTACAGCTACTGCACTAAAGCAATGTCAAAAAAAAATAAAAATATGTCTGTATAGAAATACAAAATAATATGAAAAGGTAAGAGCAAAATGTCTCAAAACAAAAAGGTAATTGTTGTAAGTGCCAAATACAACAACAGTACTCATTAGCAGCAAAGCCACAAACTATACCGTGTTTCGTCACTATAGCACATAAGCTAAGCTGCCCTTGAGTCGCCGTAAAATCCTTATTAAATTTTTATTCCTTCGCTCTTCTTGTCATACTGTTTTCACACCACACCTGCCAATTCATTGCGAATCAGGTCCATATGTTTAGATTTTAGTTTAGTATAACCCTTTTCTCGAAATCTTGTGACTTTGAAACTGATTTAATTCTACCTCTTTAAACTTCCACTTGCCTGCTCGTTCTTACCTAAAATTTTAGTGTGGGGATACAGGATTGCATTTGGATTTATAAGACATTTAAATCTGCTTAGCTTATGTGCTTTAGTTATGAAACGCACTTACATATACATATGTGCAAACCTACATACCTTTTTACATGAATAATTTCTAATTTTGTTGTTGCTTACCTTTGCCAGTGGGAGTCTCTATTTTGATTTTCTTTGTGCGCATTTTGCCTCTTTTCAGCGTCGCAAAGGTTGCCCCAACTACACACACACACACACACACACACACACACACACACACACACACACACACACACACACACACACACACACACACACACACACACACACACACACACACACACACACACACACACACACACACACACACACACACACACACACACACACACACACACACACACACACACACACACACACACACACACACACACACACACACACACACACACACACACACACACACACACACACACACACACACACACACACACACACACACACACACACACACACACACACACACACACACACACACACACACACACACACACACACACACACACACACACACACACACACACACACACACACACACACACACACACACACACACACACACACACACACACACACACACACACACACACACACACACACACACACACACACACACACACACACACACACACACACACACACACACACACACACACACACACACACACACACACACACACACACACACACACACACACACACACACACACACACACACACACACACACACACACACACACACACACACACACACACACACACACACACACACACACACACACACACACACACACACACACACACACACACACACACACACACACACACACACACACACACACACACACACACACACACACACACACACACACACACACACACACACACACACACACACACACACACACACACACACACACACACACACACACACACACACACACACACACACACACACACACACACACACACACACACACACACACACACACACACA